TTTTTTAAGGGGAGAAAATCATCGAATGACTGCTCCCGCCTGGGTGAGGCGGAAGGGAGTGTCAGACTCTTACTGACTAAAACCCACCCTGTTCCTACTCCTGCACTTAGAGCCGGAGCCCAGGTAACCCGTTAGGTTCTCCGCGTCTGTGCTGAGGCTAGGCGCTCGTTCTAAAAGGTAGATTCGAATGAAAAAGAACGAGCAAGACACTCCATTCGTTACTCGTTTAAAAAATATATGGTTTACAATCTCTCTGATATATTATCCAATATTGTACATATATGTGAGAACAATGTAAAGACACTCTTGACGCATTATACAAATTACAAAACCTACTATAATAAAAAATATATCTTACGTCTAACATGGTGCTATCAGATCTTCAATGAAGTTGGACAAATTATTATTATGAATTCAAAAAATATATGCTTTAGCGATATATAATATACTTTAGCGTATCGTGAAGGATTTTTACCTATAAAATAAGAATTAAATACACCAGGTGCAACTTAAATGAATCATACACTACTGTCTACCTCCTATAGCGATAAATTGGGCGTAGTATTTTTATGATATTATATTACAATTACTGCTGTTCATACATGACTCAACCTCATAATAACTATAGGCATACATAAATAATTATATAGGCTTGTAAATTATAACACAGCCTAGCTAGTCAGCATAAATCTAGATTAATATGCCTCGTTGACCAAGTGGTCGCAAGTGCGACTGCCGGGCAAGGGGTCTCGGGTTCGATTCACGGGCTAAGCAAAGTATTACTGGGTTTTTAAAAAATTCTCAGTAGTAGCACGGAGCCTGGAACTGTGCCCGGTATATGGCAATAAGCTCACCCCCTATTACATGGGACTCATAAATAGTGAAAAGTGAGTGTTACATCGTACAGTGGCATAATGTTCACCTCTGCCTACCCCTTCGTGGATAAAAGACGTGATGTTATGTCAAGTCTAAATTGTCCACAACTATTGATAAATGGGTTTATTTATCTCATTAGATAATCGGGTTAATCGAGCTACATTATGGTACAATTAATAGACCTACAAACAAATAAAAGTAGGTAATCAAAATTCACGCCTAACACTTGCAACGCGCACGGGGTTCAAAACGACCAGTGGTATTAAAATTTTAAATATCCGACACGGCTCCCGTATGATTTAGTTTCATTTATTACTACAAATCTTGATTAACGATGGTGACGTGACGATGCATTTTTGGACTATATGAATTTTAGTTCCTTTGATATTGGTATTTAATTAACTTGTGTATGAAACTTTTGCTGCTGGGGAGTTTGTTGCGCCATTTCTTTTCCACAGCAAAAGCGATAGGAAGCGGTAGTAATTATAAATAATTCTAATTCTAAATTAATATGAAAGGAAGAGATGTGATACATATACAATAACTAACTTGTATATTCTATAAAAATTTAATTGTAAAAGACAGCGTGCTGCTGTGGAGAATAGAGCCGATTTTTCCACCGCTAGATAAATTTTAACTGAAGAATAACTTTGAATATTTGATAATTCTTCGATACTAAAAACTATCAAATTTCAATTTTATTACAATTAACTGATAATTTTGAAAAATCGACCCTTAGTCACATTATATTATAATTTTTGAAGATATTATGATTCAAGTTATAATAGGCGATACTGTTTGCTTACGTTGCCTAGTCAGATTTAGTGTTAAAACAGAATTAAAAGTGATATTTTAGAATAATTAATGTTAAAATTTTATTACATATCTTTAGTTTTGAGTTTGTTTAACATAAGAATATTGATATCATAAGTAGTACCCAAAATCGGTACACAATCCCGAAATATTTGCGCACAAACGTACATAGGTACGTATACCTAGGTCAAACAGACACCTCCTTCTTTATTGAAATCGGCTAATATAACAAAAACATCTCTAATAGAAACTGGAAAATCCTGTTTCCGAATATGCGTCATTCCAGCCATATCGTACCTACCTATACCTACTGTTGATAGAAGTAAAGATACTATAATAAATTAACAATTATTTATCGTCGTCCAACATGAGGATTACCACTGATATATGAAAATATTGATACTTATCTCTGACTCATTTTGAATGACACAACGTGGTAATGAAATTTATTTAATTTTAAAGGACCTTATAATATTTGGTAATAAGTTTTTCTTGAGACTAAAACGACTTTGAACTGTAAAGCAATCCAACTTAAAGGTTCAATTTGTAATGTCTCTAAGCAAGTCTGTAGGTCCTGTGAATTTCATTTCAGAAATAATTCCAAACCATCAACAAAAATGTATCTTGAGTCATTACTTATTAGGTTTCTTTTGCTATAAACCGATAGTGCTTAAACGACTTTCATAATAAACGATATTACATTAAAACCACTGCCATCGACACCCTGGCACGTACATTATAATTACATAAGTGCATTACTTAACTTTTTATAACAAAAACCATTTTTCAATAACTAAGCGACATTTCCGCGATCAAGCATTAACATTTTACAAAAATAAACATGGCGCTAACAATAAATCGCACTCACACACGCGCAATACATATTTTTAATTTGTTAAAAGCTCTCAGAAAAATAACAATCTGAATGCATCGCCTGCAATTTGCGGCAAGCCTCGCCTTTTATAATTAAAATTGCATTAAGCCTGCAAATAGTCGGACATTAATGACGCTAATGCGCTGTTTGGATAGAAAAAAATGCAGACAGACAGTTTGTAATCCAATTTGCAGCTAAAAATGCCTTAATTCGATTGCAGCTCATAGTGTTCCTGTGTTTGTCTTACGTCTGGCAGCTTGACGCCAAAATAAGGTTAATAAGAGCCTTTTGTGAACATATTTGGGCGCTTTGTTTTATGGTTTTTCGATATTCGACTTGACTTTTGTAGTTACAGCATTTTGTCAGTGTTTTTATAGATCTTACGTATGTATAAGTAACTTGCTGCAGTGTAGGGCATGGTTTCATACAGCACAATTACAAACCTATAGTAGATAACGAAACACAGATACTAAACACAGTCTGCTTTTACTTATGATTTGTATCAGAAAGGGATATTAAAAAAAAATTACTGTGACTGATCTCAAATACACATTGCGAAAATTATAAATCAAAGCCCGAAATTATATCTCATAATTACGAGCCAACAATAGAACGCCTTTCTTTACATTTATTGGGGTCCCATTGAATATTTGGCACTGCCATAAATTCGAGCATACTGTCGGGGCGTAACAATGAATCTAAATAACCATTAATATGTAATAAATACTATAGGGTGATAAAGCCGTGTCGGTAGGGAACAAACAAACAAGTGTAGGAGCAACCCTTAAACGCTGGGCATTGTTAAAAGAGCCGAGCGTGAAATATTCCGAGGGGACGGCCGATGACGAAGTCACTGCCGAATTCTGCCGAAGTTCTCCGATCAGTTCCGCTCCAAATGCCGACAGCTGCTGCGTTTCAGATGGGGGTCGCTCTTCATTAGTGGAGCTTGTCTCAGCTCGAGATGGATGTTTGTTTTTGGACAGCATGAGGTGTTGATGGTTAGTTGATGATGTATGAAGTTTATTCTGTGGGACATTGTATCGAATCTTGTTTTAGAGTTTTCTTTTGGACATGTGTAGTTCAATGTCACGTGTTTTTGTTTCAGCCTTGTTCGTGGGAGTTAGTTTATTATTATTTACGAGATAGTTTTTTATAAAACATTCATAAGAAATTCAGTTTTAATGTCAGTAAAATCAGTAATAGTTTTGTCACTTTTGTTGTTGTAGTTTCGTATCATAACAAAACAACTTCACAAATCTAAACCAGATTAAGAAAGACCAAAAAGTCCTTTTAATACAAGAGCCTAAATCCAGCACCAACTTTGTAGCAACTAAACATAAGTACAATTGAATAACTGAATATCAATTCAATACCTAATCCTTAACACGTTCGAGGACAGAACGAGATTATACGTCATCGTTCGAGATTTTAATATCGCACAACGTACGATGACGTTCAAATAACATTTAAATTATACGGCAGAACGTTCATTTCCGATGAAAGTTCAAGTAAAAATCCTTTTAAATGTATCTTGTGTCACAACATATAAAATACCCAACTCTGTACTGTCACGTAGGGTAAGTTTAGAACTATTTAAAATAAGTGTCGTTGATAGTGTGCGGTTACGGTATTCACATATGCACAACGTGTTTATACGTCCCGCGCTCCTACATTCAGCGCGGCTGTGTCACTGTGTACATTACTTTAATGCAAATTAATGATTTTACAGTGTGAAATTGATGTTTAATGGGTTATTGTGTGTTTTAGATGGATATAAGCGCAAAATAAGACACAAGATAAGCATGTTTGATGATTCCGACATCTCCAACGAGGCGGATCCTTACCTAGATGCATATACACGTTGACGTGATAAAACGATTGTGTCATGATATGTTTAAAACGATATTTCTTCATGGGACAATACGTACTGATACGTCGTATAATTTTGTATAGACATGTACTGTGTCATTTTGAAAACCCGACTCAAGTGGTAGCGTCCTCGAACGTGTTAATCAAACATTGAATAATACCAACAATGCTAAACAAAACTGAACAGCAATAGTTGCGTTTAGTCGCGCCCGCGGATTAGTGAATTGTAAAAAAAGATTGGGGTCCGAAACGACCCGAGGTGTTAATTACGGGGGTTGGGCTTCGAGGGTTGAACAGATGAAAGTCAATTTGCTTCAGCGACATGATACGGCCCATTTCGTTCGGAGCGACAAGTGTGGCACCTGCGCAGTGGGGTCTTTATGACCCAAACAATTGTAGGGTTAGATGCATTATTTGCATTAGTTTCAATGATGACCACTTTTGTTCAGAACAATAGCTGAATGATGACAAAGGAATTGTTTCAATACAATATCATTGGTGCAATTCTATAACCTAGAATCAAATGCGTTTATTTAATGCATATTAACTGTATTTGTTTTGTCCACAGAGGAAATCAAATTCGGGATCAACCGTTTAGTCAGCGAGAGGACAGAAAGGACAGAAGATGAGGAAGAGGAACATCATAATGAGACACGAGCTGAGGGCATATCGCCAGCATCACGCTGTGGTAGTCCCTGTTGGGCGCCATCACCACAATCCCCAAGATCTGTTCGCTCCAGTTCTCCAGAACTGGAAGTGGATTCTCCACCATCTTCCCCAAGAAGACCACCAGACACTTCCCCTCCTCCGAAAAGATCGGAAGCTTTCTCTGTGAGTGCATTGTTACGACCTGATGCCCCAAGAGTGCAGCCTCAAAGACCATTTTTATATCCTCCACTACCTTTTGCGGAGTTTTTGAGGGATGCTGGAAGCCTTGGTCTACCTGGTTGGGGAGGATACAGCAACCTATATCTTCATGCTGTTCAAGCAGCTGGTCCGGAACTATTGAGACTTCGTGCAGCTGTTCTTGGTGCCCCTGGCCCTTTATCTAGGCCTTTGCCATTAGGAGATGTGTACTCCTGTGTTAAATGTGAGAAGATGTTCAGCACTCCTCATGGTTTAGAAGTGCATGCCAGACGATCTCATAATGGCAAGCGGCCCTTTGCTTGTGAACTCTGCAGCAAGACATTCGGACATGAAATCAGTTTGAGTCAGCACAGGTGAGTTTTTAAAATGTATGTTTGGAATAAGATATTAATTTTGTAGAGAAAATACTATGTAAAGTCTGCCTACCCCAAATAACATTTCTCCCTCTTTAACAGGGCTGTCCACAGCGTTGAGAAAGTCTTCGAATGCAAACAATGCGGGAAGACCTTCAAACGATCAAGCACGCTGTCTACCCATCTCCTAATTCACTCTGACACCAGACCCTACCCATGCCAGTACTGCGGAAAGCGTTTCCACCAAAAATCGGATATGAAAAAGCACACCTACATCCATACTGGTAAGTACAAAAAACATTTCATTATTCTAAAAATACAAACACCAATTTAATATAGACCCATTTATAAAAGCATCTAAAATTGGCAAGGTCACAAAGCTGACACGTCTTTTAGTCCTTTCACTAGAGACAAAGGACCAAAAATCCTTTAGCCACAACCGTTTCACTTCGTGCTTTTAATATTTAATTTGGGCCCGAAACACTATTGTTAACACACAATCAAGCCTGGTGCAAAAGTGAGAACGGTCAAATGAAATCGTAATGGCACTTAGGTACCGCAAAGTCCCACCGAATCTTATCCGCGGACTAAGTGAGATACCAACACAACATATAGACCGCAGCATCTTACATTTATGAAGAGGGTTGAATATAGGGGCGAGAAGTTTGGCGCACAAATCGATAAAGTGAAAACTGAACTCGTATGCTCTAGATTTGGATATTGCACGTGGATTAGTGTTTAGATTTTAGAATGAGTTTGCTAGTTATTTAGTGCTATCTTGTTTATTTTATTTATTTCCTTGAAAGTTCTTTAACTATTGTGTCTTATGATTGATGACCATACAATACTCAAAAAGATTATATTGTAGTGTAACCTAAACGATTACCTGCCATGTGTTTTAAAGAAAATTTTTATTTTAATAATATCTTATTATCCATGACGTCAGATCCATTTATTCCTGAGACATATAAAATTACAAACAATACTTTCACGACACAATTCAGTTGATTGACACGACACTTATTTAAAACAAAAGCTTTCCATACCAATCATCGTCACTAAAGTTAATGTGTCTAAGATTGGAACAGTATCAAAATTCTCGCTACCAAAATAGCTCCTTGAATCCGCGCCCCATCCCTCCAGTCCCTATGTAGCTGTAACCCAATCGCTTCATAATGTAACCGCGACATTATGCGATTATTATAAAACAACAGAAACTCGTCTTACATTAATTATGTGGAGGGTTGTTTAAGATGTTTTGACAGCGTAACTCCCTGAATTATGTTGGATAAGTAAATGGACTTGGGAAACGTCGTGGTGAATTATTGTCTTGTAATTTTCGGTTTAAGTTTGTAATCTTCAGACTGTTGAGACATTTGAAACATGACTGGTAACTTTTAGAAGTATTAAGGTATTTGTGGATGGAACTGAATTATTAATCTCGCGTCTCAATTTATAGAGTGTCAACGCGTGGAACAATAAATAAACATCAATAAGTTGAGTACTTGGCTGGTTATCGGAAACGATGATCACTTTGCCCTCATTGTCCACCACAACAGCTGATCTATTATAAAGCAATTTGTCTAACAGCGGGGTTCACTCAGCACAGAGCAATTCATGCTCTTTAATCTAATATCAGTACTGTGCTTATTGCCCCCTGTCTTTATAAGTGAACTGGATATAATTTTTCGTTGTTGATATTATATTTTATTGCATTATCTGTATCACTTCCTTGGGCTTTAGCGTCAGATTCTAATACTTGCTTATCTATTCGCACTATATCTGTTTACTTCACATAAGCTACACATACTAATACTCCCATACTCTCTACATAGTGAAAAACTTCCCTTGTAGTTAAAAAGACGTTCCTTCCTGTACCAGTACCTACAACTCTCCCCAGTTCATTTAAGATAAGGGTGGGGGCGATATTCCGTGATTCAGACGCATAGATTCGCCGTTTTCATTGCTTTGACAGTGAGTGCGAGTGAAACAGCATTACATTTTACAATACGTGCGAAAAGGATGTAACAGAAGGGTTGGGTTAGTTATTGGGCACATGTTTCTGCTATAGGGTGGTCTGGAGATAGTGATGAATAAATTTTCATGTGAAATTTTCCGAAAGAAATTTTAAATTGCATCGTGTTTTTATTGCAAGCTGAAGATGCAAACATTTTGGAAACTAGTCAAGTTTAAGTATTATAGTTACTTTACTAAATTAAATGAGAATTATCTTTACTACATCCAGAAGAATATCAAATACCGTTTCGCAAATAAACAATACGCCAACCTTCTCCATGACTGTATCCATATTCCACGAAATCCTTCGTCGAAAAATGCCACGTACCTCCATTTACAACGGTACAAGTACAATCCCTCCTCTATCCACAACGTTACTAGTCTCAGCAGCAAATAAATTAAACCACGCATCACACCTGATCTCACCCTAAACCTACCCCCGACGAGTAAATTATTAACGATATCAACTTAGCAAATAGTTGGATGAACGGTATTTTAATCAGCGTCCCAACTTCTTGATTAATGTGCCCCAACAACAATTTATCGTTGAAATTTTATTTATAATTACGCCAGCTAAATTAAACGGGTGATTAGTCAACGTCGAGGACTGGTTCGCGATTTGTCACCTCCAGTACTGAATTTGAGTGTAATTGGGCCCCTGAAGTTTGTCTTTACCTGCAGTTAGCTCCAATTTTGGAGTTTCTAGTTTCGTAGTTGGGACTATTAATTGGGAAGTTAAATTATTCATGGAGTTCTACAGTACTTTAGTTTAGGATCCCGTTGTTTATGTATTGTAAAGGAATTTATGTTTATATGCATCGCTTACATACAACATAAGTAATTAGACTAAGTCGATAATCATGTTTTGCATAACGAAAAAATGAGGGCCTATTGCATTGCCTGCGGCACTCCTCTTATTAGGCACTTATCAAAACTTTTCTCATCATAAAATTGGCCGCCCATTAACAGAGATTAAGAAAATAAAAATTAAAAAAAGAGGAAACGTGTAACAGTATTACGCAGACGTCTCTCACTCAAAGTCATGAATGTTTGATTCACTCAAAGGCCAAGTTGAAGTATTTTTTTAAAAAACTCTTCCTTCTCTTAATTAGCCGACGAATAAACAAGTGGCACATTAGCTCTCGAAATAATTACACAGCGGCTGTATTCCAGCCTCTTTTGTTTGCTTTTATTATCTTTTTTATTCAACATTACTTCCCCAGCTTCGGTTTGCGGTGAAGAATTTAAAAAGCATTTGGAAAATTAGTTTGGTTTGAGATAGTATTTAAAATGCAATTAAAATGTTAGCTGGGAATTGAGGGTGCGCTGTTTTTTACGTTAAGCTTCTTAGCATTTATTAAAGATATCACATTGATTAATAATAATGACCTTAGAATTCAAGGTCAAAGTTCAGTAACAGAAAGCAATTAATAAATAACACCCGAGACACTCTTCGCATTAAACGCAAACAGTTAAAACGAAAAAGATTCTCAAAAAAAGATTTCACAGAACAAAATGAGGAACCATAAAACTCTTAATAATCGTCTTATTCGAGCCAAATGTTCTCAACTTTCGTATTCACAGCCCCTTTGATTACTTTTTAAAGCCTTTTTACTCTCAAAAATAGCAAAGCGACATCTTCAAAGTCCAAAGCTGCTTGCTATCTTGTAATTGGATTCGTAAGGAGCAATTTCAACTTGAAATTGTAGAAATATGCAAATGTAAAAAAAATGCTCTTGATTTTTACTTAGACAGAGATCTTTTCATAATTATTGTAATTGTTTTTAATAGAAGCGATTTTAATTGAGACTGTTTAAAAGTTGACATTGAGACTATTGATCCAATGCTGTGCAGCTTTCTCTGTTTATCTTTGTATCACAGACTCTGGACATATTTACAGGATTGCTCTTAAGTCCTTCACAATAACCATGTTAATTTGTCTCAGGATAAATACAACAATTACTCTGATTTATTTTCCTATCTGTCAACACATTCTATCCATACATACAACATTTTTCAGCGATAATTTGATTGATAGCTTCATATTCCCCTTTATCTATAATACACACACTGAATTTCACAGATTTCATTTCAATGACATCATCGCTACTTAAATATATAATCCTTAATCGCAAATCCGCGTTTTTATCAATACCCTTCCAAAACATTTCACCGTTTCGATTCAATAAAACAAAAACTAACAGATATAAAACTCACTGTCCAATCTCTCGAAACCAATTCTTCGTACAAGATTCAAGACTTCAAGTATTCCATCCACACAAGTTGGGGGGGAAATCTAAGCGGTCCATAAGGAAAGGGGGGCTTTAGGGGTGGGGGTTAGGTGTCGCTGCCCGGGGGGACTGAATCAAGGAGTGCTACGTGCTTTGAGTTTAATTAAGGATCTGGATCTTAGAATGCTTCGATTTTAGTGGCGTTTTCTTTTAATACCTTAAAACGTTTTATTAAATGGAATTGTGTGAGCTGAGTGGTTTATGTGGATGTAATATTAATTACTTTGGTGACTTGGTTAGATGTCTTTGTAAAGTTGTGTTGGTTGATTTTTGATATGGAATATTGTTAACGTTTGTCATACTTTCTGTATAGTCTTAGAAGTCATGTGTAATAATAGTCCTTGAAAAATCATGACACTTACTTATTATTAAATTACAGTGTTACTTAAAACACAACTTGAATAATAATCATTTGAGAAGATAAAAATCTCTTTGCTCTCCTTACCGCCTTTGTTTCGAGTTAAATCTTCAAGTTTTATCACACCAACTGGTATTCCCGTGTCGATTCCCAAAAAAGGTAACATCACAAATCCAGATTTGTATTTTATATTTTTCCACACGCAACCTGATCTCACAGGGGACATGAGCAGAAAAAAAATCAGTTTCGCGAGATTTTTTTCTCACGCGAAAAAATGACAGTTGAATTTGTATGCCGGGAGGTCGCCTCACTCCCATATAATATTAGACACTCCCAAGAGAGGAGGATAATTAAATTAATGTCCTCAGCCCTCTTTTGCCCCACGTTTCGTAGCCAGTAATCCGACACCTGCATTGTTTTCACTCAGTCGCTCTGTAGTTTTATTTTCTTATGTTTGTTCGAGAGAAAGAATAGCCTTTGTTGTCCCACGATATAGTTGCTTCTAAAAAGTTAAATACTTCGCCACCTACTTACTCCTTGGTATAAGTTATGTAGTTTCAATACCTTCCTGAGTTTCTGTATAGAATATGTCTAAATCAGAATAGTAAAATTAGAGTTG